TTTCAGGACCCCACCTTGATGTTTCAGGACCCCACTTTGGGTCCTGACCCCAGCTTTGAGAACCACTGGTCCAACTCCACTAAAACATGTGGCTCAGTTTGTGAAGCAGATTCAGTTGATTTCTATAACACCAGGTCACAACAAACACGTGTCAGGTCTCTGTACACAAACACACAAACAAACACACAAACAAACAAACACACAAACAAACACACAAACAAACAAACAAACAAACACACAAACAAACACACAAACACACAAACAAACACACAAACAAACACACAAACAAACACACAAACACACAAACAAACACACAAACAAACACACAAACACACTAACACACAAACAGTCTAAAGAAGCAGCAGATTGTGTTGAACTGTCTCCATCCTGAGCAGCACACTGGAGAGGAAAACTCTAACAGGTGGAAACCTCCAGCAGAACCAGAACCAGAACCAGGCTCAGGACCGGCTCTGTTTGGGGGACAGGAAAGAGACACAGGAGGAAGGTCCAGGTGGATTCTCCTCAGGAGGACAAAGGAAACATGTTATTGATAGAAGTGATCAGAACAGACCTGTGGAGGACAGAGACTAAACACAGATTCAGGTTTTATTGTAAAATTTGATTGAATGTAATAAACTTCTTTCTGACAAAGTGTTGGGTTTGTCTCCTTCTGGACCTGTGGTAAAAAGTGTTCAGTGTTCAGCTCAYTGCTCCAACGTTTGTCTTCCTGTCCCACAGATCATCTGCGGACCCGTCTAAAGGAGTACGGTCTGGTTACACCCTTCAGCACTGACGCCCAAGGACACTTCCTGTCCCACCGGCTGTCAGCCACTCACAAGCAGCGGGTCAGGAGGGAGGTGTTTCCTTCCACTGAACTGGATCAGAACATTTTTTTTAACATCTCCGTCTTTGGGAAGGAGTTTCACCTTCGTCTGCGTCCCAACACCAGGCTAGTGGCGCCTGGGGCAGTGGTGGAGTGGCATGATGAGGTCAGAGGGTCTGGAAACTTCAGTGGGAATAGTTCGAGTCCAGGAACCAACTGGACCAATGGGAGGGAGGAGATCCTGCACCGACAGCTTCTGAAGACGGACTGCACCTTTYTCGGGGACATTACAGATGTTCCTGAGGCCTCAGTTGCCATCAATAACTGTGATGGACTGGTAAGTCTTCCTAAGACCCCCATCCTGCTAACGTCAATGTTCCTGACCTTCTGAACTGAGCTTAGATGTTTAGAACTCTTGGGTTTACTCAGTCTTTATGTACGCTTTTTATAAAACATTTTACTCAAGACCAGGTTTTAATAAGTCACTGCTCAACTATTTATTATTGAAATGTCAAATATAGTTTATTCATTTCATTAAAAAACAAACAAAGCAAAACACATTTCATAAAACAAAACAATGCAAATCAAATAAAATGAAAGGCAGCAGAAGAAAAAACTCTTATATCTGCTCCTATTTACAAAAAGATTATATTAATTTCAAACAATAATAAACCAAATAAAACAAAAATAAAGTTTCAACTCCTCAAACACTAACTCATTCAAATACAAATTAAACAATTTCATATTTCTTCAACAATTTTGCTTTGGTCATTTTTTTGAAGAAATTAATGGATCCCATGCTTTCAGAATCATTTTCCAGATTATTCCATAGTCTTATACCTGTCATTTCTCCTTCCAACAACAAAAAAATACATCTGTTTCCTTAGTACTCCTGCCTGGCTCCTGGGTATGAGGGTC